GTCCATGGGGAGAAGCCACCAGGTCCCCACCAGGTCCCAGGAGGGGGTCTGGGAAGGAGAAGCCCCCCCTGAGCCGGGCAGGGTGCTGAGCTCTGTTAGGACCAGCTTAAAGCCCGGCCAGACTCTAGGTGGGGCTGAAGCATTGGGGATCTTCCCTGCGCTGAGCCTGGCCTGGCTTTGGGCTGGGTCTGGGCATCCAGGAGCCACGGAAAACCCTTGGTCCCGCAGCCCCTGCGCCTGGGGATCCCGGGAGAACGGAGGGACCCTCTCCTGGGGCTGGCGTCCCAAAGAGGTCGGAGGGGGGGGCTTCCCACCCCCCATGGAGCCGGTGACGGGCGGCTGGGGACATCTCGTGCGGCCGACACGGGAGGGAGGGAGGTTTGCAGATCCTCATCCTGTGGGCGACGGCTGAGTCACGGCCGAGGGGTGTGTGCCGACAGCGGGAGGAGGAGGAAGATGCCAAGAGCAGGATGGAGCTGCCTCTGCCCAGACGAGATTCCAGCCCCTCTGCAGAGTCCCAGTACCCCTAATGTCACCAAGCATCACCTTGGGGACACCAGGCACCTTCGTCACCCGTTAACTCGCGCTGTGACGTCCCTTCCTTCCTTCTTTCCCCCTCCCGTTGCCGTCAGGCTCCCCGTGCGGATTTGCCGTGATTCATTCTTGCTCGTGGCAGCAAACGCTCGTGCGCATGAAATAAAACATCGTCCCCGTCCTGCGGGGAGGGACAGACCATTCCAGCTGGCCTTTGGAGACAGCTTGAGCTTTGAGCTCATTTTCGGGGGCTGAGATCAGCCCCATTCAGCACAGCGGGTCCTGCCCAGCGTGCCTGGGAGCGGCTCAAAAATCCACAAAACTTCAGCGGCCAAACGTCGGGTGACATTTTTAAAGCTGGTTTTGTCTTGTCCCCAGCCCCTGCCCAGGGTGGAGAGCTCTGGTGCTGTGCAGACGTGACAATCGTGATGTAATGGAAGTTTCTAAAGCTGCATTAACCCTTTTTGGGGGGCCTGGACCCCTTTCTCCTCCCTTTTACAACATCTCATGCTGGGGTCCGCACTGGGAATCACCAGCGCCCAGTTTTTGTGTTTTTTTACCCCAGATGAGCACCGGTCGCCGCGGATGCTGCCGGCAGAGCATGTCCCCGTGCCAGGGCGATGAATCGCCGGGTTTCACAGCAGCACCCCACAAACCCCAGTACGAACTGGGAGAAAACCAGCGGTCGGCTGGTTAACGAGCGCAGGGAAGATGGATTGCTCACTCCGGAATTGCACAAAGCTGAGCCGGAGCCAGTTCTTAGTTTCTTAGAAATAACTGCGATGTCCCGGACCCGTGTTCCCTTTGTCGCCAGCTGGCCCAGGAGTCTGCATCCAGCTGCGGCTCGTTCCCGCCCTTGGGAATGGTTCTTGGGAAAAGGGTGGACATGGATCTGCATGCGGCATGTCCCAGGGCTGTCACCTGCAGGGACTGGACTGAGGGGGGGGTGATGCTTTGGGGGTGAAACCC